TGCTGTTGTAAACGAGTTTGATCATAGACGTGATCCGTTAAGTATCAACTTGACCACGAGATCTAATCTGTGCACATGCCAACAATGATGAAGGAATCTGTGGCGTCAAGTTAGGTTTCCATGCCACTTGAGAATCCATAAATTTGGAGACTTGTTCAGCAAGGCTGGTGTATGCGCATTATCAAAAGGCTTAAGGTAAAGTATAGAACATAACGCCTCGAGCAAGGCAGATATGGAGGTAGTGATCGAGTAAAATCACTGTACCAGAAAGGTATGTTAGGGATCCTAATGAGCGAGAGTAAGACTGATAGGATCCAGAGGAAGAGGATTGCGTACTAAAAGAGCGGACTCCCAGCAGAGCGGAGGGGGGGTTGAGGGAAACCGCGAGAAGTTTGAATAGGTTTAAGTAAATCCGCTCAAAAATGGCTCCCCCTAACTAGTTTTAGATTAGCAAATAAGAAATAGTGATAATAAAGAAGTGTTACGAGGATATAGGATAGGTGAATATGCCAGGAGAGGAAAGATATCACAATTGTTTAGCGGACTATGGATCTAGTTGGTCTAAGGGTCGACTCCATTTAGCTCTTTGATAAGTTATAATTTTTTGCTAAGACTGACAAGGCTAAATGCCGATGTCGATTAAACGTCTGGGTATGCACCGAGTTCACAGTCCAAATCTTGAAATTTTCATTCATACTATGGACTCCGGACTACGAACTTTCCTCTAGGTCTTCCTGCCAATATGACCAGGTTATGAAGACAACGTCAAACAAATTTTATTCAACGAAAGGGGACCGCGACCATATTAAATGGCACATCATCTTGGTCTTCATACTTTCTTTTAAAATGTCTGCCTTTTTTTCCCCAAACAGATAGTAATGCCTAAGGGTTGTAATTGCGGTACGACGAAGGTAAAATATGATACGGCAGGCCAATATAGCTATATCTAATTCCCTCAATCATAGATTTTTCTAAGTTGTCTACAAGGTAGTCTAGAGTACAGCATTCTCATGATAGTCCTTGCAAATTATCATTCTCTCTAATGTCTCAATATACGAAGTTAATTAGATATCTACTTGTGTATATCTGTTATTTTGCATCAGAACTCAATCACCTTTTATCCATTCTATTCTTCATTCTACAAATACCAAAATGCAGAAAAATGACATCCTTCTTCTTCAGAAGAATTGCCCTCGCCTTCGTGAGTTGTTAGACGAGCTAGCTTTTTCCGAAAAAGTGCAAAAGATTGAGTCTATGCACAGTTCTTTGTTTTCTCTACTACGTGCCAATACGGGCTTGGACTATGTGAACGCTTCTAATTTTTGGGTGATAGAAGATGACATCACTTGCATAAGGGCGCATAATCTTACCCTGCCTGCATGGCTTACAGATTCAATTTTGGCAGAGATCAAAACAGTCAACACGCTGTTTTGGGAGGTGAGTCAATAAACAAATTTTGTTTATATCACTCCAGCCTTATCTGTAAAAAAATTGCTATACATTTTTCTTTAAACTAAAATATAATATGCCCAATTCCCATTGATTTACAGCTTAGATGTAAATTTATATTGCACAAATAAAAACTCTTCCTGAATTTTCAGCAAATGCAAGATAGACATTTGGCTGAAATAAATAATATGAATCTGGCTATGGCAAAGACACTAGTGGTCTTGACAAGACTACTTACATCATAAATGTAGTAGGATAAGCTGTCTCCGCCGTAAAGTTTTTTTAAGCCTTCGTTAACGAAATTTAAGGTATGAAGGCCAAGTGGGGAGGTATACTTTATATGCCTTCTCCTTTAATGGTATAGAAGCGCTTTTGCATCATTTTCACGTGTTTTCATGGCGACTCCGACGAATTATCCGTATCCAGCGTCCTCTACCTTATTATTCACGATAGTTTACAGCTTCGGAACGTAGATTCCCAATCGTTTTTTGAACTTAATCTACGGCGATTTTAAATGTAGGTCTAAGCCACTCTTCAATATTGTACATTATCTTCTCGATAACAAAAAATCATCGGATATCTACTTAGATAAAAGTCATCCTATTTAGGATATCCGAGTCGTGACCCCCTTGTTGTCAGGGGGACTTAGTAGAACGCACCTATTCCTAAGTCGTCTGCCATAGTAGTTGTTATGATTCAGAGCATCAGACAGTGGACTTAGTACATTCTCAAACGTTTCGCCGGCATCGTAGTTGGCATCATCAGTAAGTTTTGCCATTCTCCACACCAAGCTACGAACTCGTCAAAGAGACAAGTGAAGTCAATCCCTCGACAAACGTCCTGCCGAAAACGGTTACACTATCGCTACTCTTTCTGTCCTGGCCTATCTATCTACTCTTTACCCTCTTATCCCGCTGTCGCCCTATCCCGATTTCTGACTTGTTTACATTCCACTCTTCAAAATGTGTGCCCTTTTGTGGCAAATCTAATGTGGCCTCATCACACTTACTATTCACCCCGATCCCCTCTCTTTCGATCGGCTGATCCGGCTCGGGTCTCCAATCCGGATCCCTTCATTGTCTCGTAGATCCGACAACGGGGTCAACCCATTTCTATAAATCGAAAGGAGACTGCGACCATACCAGAGGCCACAACATCTTGGTCTTTATATCTAATTTTGTATCATTGAAGTTTTCTTGGTCAAATCTTCTTTAGCTCTCATAACAGACTTTGATGGCCTTGAAAATGCATTAGCTAATACCATGACTTGGGGAGATTTTAAGATGAAAGATTTGTTGAAATGCTCCAGATTTCTAATACTTGACCAAAGCTCTGATATATTCAACACATTTATTATTAAGTCAGTTTGCTTCTGTTTCTTAATTTTTAAGAGTACTTCCATTTCAAGTAAAAGTGTTTGGTGAAGAGATTAGAAGGTCGATTCCACCAGAAGACGATGGCAGATTCCTCTAAACCAGCTGTCGATTGGCTTTACTGGAACATTCATGGTGACGCTTTTTCCGAGGTAATCTTCGATTACGGTCAAAAGATGTTAACATTTTGTCCGTCATATGACGAATATCGTCAGAGCAAGGTTTCATCATTACAACCAAATTCAAGCTAACGAGTCAAGAAAACTCACTGGCAAATCCCTTAAAAGCGGTATATATACTATTTATCTGGCCTTTTTGATCAGGTACAGTGATTTGGTTAGTTACAGTCCTATTTCAACCTCGAAGCATGTGAGTGTGTCTGTATCTATGCATATGTGCCTGTTTGTGTTCGCATATGCAT